AAAGCTAAGTGTCTTACGAATGGTTGTCCTCGCATTTAGAGTCCGTTCCCGTATTTATGAAAGGGACAGGTCGTTTTGTTGTTGTTGTAGTAGTGGTAGTAGTAGTGGTAGGAGTCGTAGGTCTTGGAGAACTTGCAGGAACTAAACACTTTGAATTGATCTTAGCTTTTTTAAGACAAGAAATAATAAAGCAGTACCGTGTCGGTATTCAAGCACTGTCGTCGTTTTGACAATCCTGTTATATGTCATTATTGGGACACGGTTTATGTAAGAACGAAGAATTGTTCCAGCCGCGTCAGGTGAGCAGAATCTTCAAGTCACATTTTGAGGCTTGTGCATGACATAAATTGCAGCAATCAGTTTGTTCCCTATTCTGTGAAGAACTGCTAAACTGTCATTTCGATCGTTTTCTTTCTCTTCACCTACCTAGGTTTGAACCAACCTTGTGGCTCTTTTAATTTATTCGAAGCAATATACCTGTAACCAGTGAGCGTTTGGTCCTCGTTGGTCTTGATCTCTACACCTGCATAAGCTGCATCCGTCAACAGAAAGACCTTTTGTGAAATTCACTAATTTCACTTCGATTTCGGTTCCATTAGGAGACTGCAAAACACAAGGCGGTTTTCATTAGTGGCGTTGTCATTTGAGGACACTTATAGGGAAGCTTCAAGAATTGCTCTCTCACTGAGTCCAGCTTACCCAGAATTTACGGTGAGCACACCGCTAAAATACTAACCAATAACCTTTTTGGGGATGTGAAACTCACTTCAATCCAGTAGTGACATGTCTCAAAGTCTTCTTGCTCATCACGGACCAAGGCCTACAGTATTCTCGAGTCTGGTCCAAGTTAGGTGAAGCTTTAATTGTATCGCCGCACCCTGTTGATGGCTAAAGCAAACACTTCTTGCCACCAGCTTCCTCATGTCTATTATATCTAATTCTTTGCTCACTCTTTCAGTACATCGAGCTCCGCCATATCCACCAGGGCAGATGCATCTCTGGCAGTCTCGGGGATGAGGAAATCCTCCCATCTCGCATTTGACGGATGTGGTTTTGTCGCAGTTTTCTGAACTTTGTAACAAAGAATGCCATAAGAAAAGCAAAGGTGTTTTGATGGTGGGAACTTGTTTCGCTGCTAACCATTTGTCAGCATGTTGAGGATGGTGGATATGGAATGGTAGTGAGTGGCGCCGCCTACCATACATACACTCATTGACCAAATCGCGCCTATTGAAATCCCCTTTCTAAAAGTCTTCACAACCGGGTCATCTATACTAAACACGTCAGGGAGGTCAACAAGAAATGAGCCTCCTATTGGCTGGCCGTCGGTCCGACCTTGCATAGGACACTTCAAAAGCCGTCTAAAATATCTCTGCAACTTCGAAGAAAAGCAGAATGGGTGGCGAATGCTGTTCTTTCGAGCACCAACAAGCACTGAATAGAGTTTTCTGACGGGACTCCACCCGCCAAGGAGCAAGATCTTTGAATGTGTTATCTTCAAAAAGGTGTTTTGAAAAAGAAAAACCTTTGCATCCGTAGTGTTCATTGAGCATTGACAGTTCGATGAAAGAAATGAACGGAGATCCAAGGGTCTGCTGATAGTCGATATCAAACGGAACCATTGTCGGTTTTTTGTTGAACGATGCGCTAAACAAAAGTGAAGTTAACGTCTAGCTATGATTATCAACACTGCATGTCTGATAGTAATTAGTGACTGTCGCGAATTTGTTTTATAAGTATAGTAACACTGAAGCGTCATGGTCATGAAGTGAAAAGTGGGTTTATTTTTTTTTCCAAACAGACCTAGTTCCGCCGTAGTGCATAATGCTGCCGTAGTCGTATGTCATGTTGTAATTGTCGTTTGTTTTCGTTGTTTCTTTATTGAATTGACTTAGCCAGTCTACCTGAAAGTATGGCCACTTTCCTCCAATCATTATTTCATGAAACTTCTCCGTTTCCTTTAGATGGACGATCGAGAATTGAGTCATTTTCCTGAAGACTACCGTGTCTTTTGTACACTACCTAGATTTGTAGTCCGGCGGAAGAGCCAAACCATCCTCATCCTCCGTCGATTAGTCATATCGTTAATCCAGTGTACAAAAGCTCCAGAACACATGGCGCTCTCAGTGTCTTCAAATTTGCTTCAAGTCCTACATCGAATTAGCAGAGTAAATTCGCACAATCTGCACTGCATGTTCCCAAACGACGGATGGATCGATGTACATTTTCTGCCCAGAGGTCGAAAATGCCATTCAAGTTGATTGTGCCTCGCAGGTGACTTAAAGACAGCTCCCGCGATAAAAGTGTCAAGGATAATTGCTGATCAATTATGAAACAGTAGCTGATAAGTAATTCCTCAGTGAAGGAAAAAAGAAACAAGAGCCCTCAAGGACACCATAAACAAAATCGCGCCCTGACAGTCACACCTCCCTGCGGTCTCTGTGCAAGCCCTGGCTCACAAATCACTTTGTCACATCTCCCAGTAGTGGATATCATCGAATGCGAAGAAAAGAAAAAAAACAACAGAAACATGGAGGAATAACTCTTGAAAAGGAAAGGAAACAATTAAAAAGCCGGCGTTCGAACCTAGGGTTACGGTAGCGAGCATGTTTTAGTGTAATGAAGTGCGTCGAGCTTTTGCACCACAGAAATTGCATCACTGCGTGACTTTTACGCGTTTTACCTTACGAGATGGTTGCTGTTTGACTGTACGTGCTCCCAATGAATAAAATGTGATGAAGGAGAGCAGAATATATCTACGAGCACGAGCGCGGTCAGCAAAAAGTACATGCATCCTATTAATGACTGCCGTCCCAACAAGGAACAACTGAGCGGCTCTCCGTCAGAGGGCAGCTAGCTAGTGAGGCGGTCCAACTGAGCAGGCGTTAGAACTAGAACTTTGAGCGGTTCTAGCTCGCTCCTCGCTCGCTGAGGAGTCGCGAGAGTGAGATAGTATCTAGCTTGGGGGCTGAACTACCTGCCCAAGGAAGGACGACCATGTACTACTTGAGCGCGGGCTGTCTTTGAGGAATGACGTGGTCTTTCCATAGTTAGTGAACTAGCGATCTCTCAATAAAATTAATACCGAGCCAGCATGAAATGGACAAAGGGTTCTGCATGGTCTGAATGTAGAATAGCAAGTATCAGCGTGCTTTTCTACACGTGACGTCAAAGTCGATAGAATTGCCTTTTTCCACACCTAACAAGCCGAAGGTGTTCTGTTTCGTAACGTGACGATACAGAAGGATAGGAGGAACGATTATTGAACTTCAACTGAAATTTTTGAGGGCTCTGCCAAGCACCTACCTTGATATTGTGCTTGTTTACCGTGATGAAGTCGTCACGATCGTGTCGAGACATTGTATGGAAAGAATCCAAGAGCGTGACCAAGCTCGTGCGCAGCGATAGATACCGTTTCACAACCACGTCCCAGTGACAGTTTCTGTTCACCGCCGAGTTTTCCCGACGTAAGACCAACATCCATCCTCCGGGAATACCATAATTCGATCTTTGGCTGAAACAATAACCTCTTATGGTGGATTCCGAGTTGTTGAAAGGCCGAGTGTTGTGATCCAGAGCAAGGAAAATCAATTTCAGTGTTTTCTCACCAAATGGGTTCCGTGTGAAATTGATGCAAGTATCCTGTTCCCATAGCTTCGCTCCTTTCTCGAACGAACTTCTCATCTCTCTACCTTCAATGATTGAATTGCACCTAAATTGTGCACTATTCAACAAGCGCTACATTTTTACACATACTAGCGAGCTTATGGAAGTAGTAATTCACTCCTTCTGACCATAACATATTTGGATATCTATGATCCTTGAACGCTTGGCGTTTTGCACGATTTTCACCAGCAACCTCATCTTCTATATCTTGCACAATCTCCTCGGCTTGCTCCCTTCAACGGCGATGGATAAGGAAGTTACGAGGTAGTACTAGGTGTTGTTCAATCGACATACTCTGTTAGCACCATGTCGCTCTGGTAGAGATCCTTGCCAACCTGACTGTATTCGTTGACCTCAGTGATGGAGTCTCCTTCTCTCTGCGACTTTATCCTTCTTGATGGGTCGCAATCTCTGCAAAATTCAATCCGTTCAGGGTGGCACTGTACACATACTGACACAGAAAATGGTTTCGCTGCCCAAAGACACTACATCCTTGAATGGTATGTTTAAATGCTCTGAAGTTTTATAGCCTTCTGTCCTGGAAGGGAAGTGAACTGTCAATGTTACCTTCAACCTTTCCTCGAGCGATTTCATCATTTTTGGTGTTAACTCCAATGTCTTCAAAACCTTGTCCTTCATACTTCTGATCTTGTCGCGGATTTTGAACAGTGCCGTGTTTTCGAAGAGCTGTAATTGTATGAACAGGGAACTGAAAGGGCCGTTAGAAACTAAGCCATATATTCACCGAATTCAGTAAACGAAAATGAAAATACGTGATGAACTAGGTTACAGAGCTTTAACGGATAGGAAGGAAAGGGAACCTTCTTGAATCCAACAATAGTGGCATTCTTCAGTTTCTGTCCAAAACTACCATCGCCAGAGAACACTCCTTTTACTTTGTCTACAATGCCTCCATCGACAGCGGCAATCAAGAATAAGGTGAGCAATATCAGCCTCATTCTGAATTGTAGAACTATTTTTCCAAGGTTAGCTGCAACTCGATGTAACACCGCAATTGCGAAAGTATGAGCTCCGACTGCATTTAGATGAAGAGAAGCTCTTCGTTGCGTTCATCTGGTCAAATGTCCCTCTGCTTTTCTATGCTTAATCCTACCCCTTGATAAAAGTTGTGCAACTAAAAATAAAACACTGTTTTTTAGCCGTACTGAATAGCACCCTTATGAACCTAGTTGCAAGAGCACCATCATGACAGAACAACTCCTGAAACATCCCGTTGGTACACACATATAGAGAACTTTACTGCGAGTAAGAAATGTAGTTGAAATGTATAGAACTGTGTGGTGATGGACACACTGCACAGCTACTCTCCGATTTTATATCCATCTCCTCAGTATATGCTTCAGAACAAGACGGCTGACAAAACATGAGGTAATGTCATCTGATGGCGGAACTAAATAAAACCCTGTACAAAATGTTCTTGTATGTGTCGTTTTATGTTGAACAATAGCTCATGAAAAAATGGCGTGGGATTGTTGCATAGCATGAAGAGATGCTCTGAGCGAGAACTGTGATGCTAAAG